GTCCCAGTCCGGTTTAGGAGCAGATTCAACGAGTGGCTTTCGCCATACCCACCATCAGCGATGATCGTGCCCTGGCGAGGTGCATCAAGGACCACATCTCCCCATATTCCCCCCTGGGAGTCTACGAGGTCCCCCAATACGATACAGCTGTGACGAGCGGCAGCAACACTGTCGAGAATAACCGCAAATCATTCGACGCCATTCTGGTGAAGCTAGATGAGAAAACCAAATTTCAGGATGACCTTACCTGGAGAGCTTGGAACTCCATCACAGCACTCCCCTACGACATGTTAGCAAACAGATTATGGCTGACAGAAGTGATGGTGGACTCTATGGCCGGCATAATCAAAACCCACCTCCTAGTTTCGAAGAACTCTGTGCAAGACGAGGCAATATGTAGAACTGGGGGACAGGGACAGCAGTGAGGATGACGAAGAGATGATGAATAGCGACAAGATTTCCCCAGGCGACGGCGGCACAGCTGGCCCATCCCTGCCGGAAGGCAGCGTGAGTACGCACAACCTGGACCCGTCAGCCAGCAAGGAGGAGAGGGGGGTGAGAGCCCCGAGACAAATACAGTGGTGGATTAGGTAACTCCACCAATGACTGCCCAACTTAAGTTTACCACCTTAAAAAAGAACAGCACCACACACAACAACAATGGAAAGGAAGACATGGCAGGACAAATAGTCGCGAATGCAGAGTCAACCAATGGCTGCCGACACGCTACAATGCAACACTATCACGACAAACTGGCAAGCCAAAGGACTCAAAATCACCAGCTGGAATGTCAACGGGCTGGGAAATGCACCGACTGAGGAAGATGAATCAAGGGACATCCGACTAGGACTCTACGACAAGAACAGACCCAGACCAGATGTGGTTCACACCTATTTAATCTTCCAAATCACAGCAACATAAAAAGAGCAATAGAAAAAAGCCTGGGGGGTTGTACTTTCGTCCTATGGTGCAATCTAGAAGCGCTCAGCAAACGGGGGGCAGCTATACTCATACCTAACGCCTCCAAGCCTTGGGCGGCAGGTCAGATTCTCAGCAGTGGGGGAGACAGCGTAGAAGGTAGGTGGTCATGGCTAGACATCAGATGGCAAGACGAGGAACTGAGAATTCTCAACATTTACGCCCCTAACTCTGAAAACTAACGCCTAGCCTTCTTCAACAGCATCCAATCCCTCATCCCGAATCCCCAACCGGTGATCATCACAGGTGATTGGAACACGACCTTGAACCCCAGCCTCGACCGCATCTCTCGGTCCCAATTGATAGGCCCGACAAGAGCTGGAACCCACGTAAGAAATATCATGACAGAGTTCGACCTCATCAACCTCTTCAGAATGTTGCACCCAGAGAAAAAGGCCTTCTCACTGGTGAAAAGGAACCAGGCCAATCGGACGTCGCTGTCTCGGATCGACTTCTTCCTGATCTCCAAGCACCTCCAAGGAACAATCAAACAGGCTGAGATCTGGATCAAAAACCTGTAGAACTGCACTTGAACTTCAACTCCCCAGTGAAAAAAGGACGGGGCTTCTACAAATTTAACAACTCCCTCTTAGCCACTGTAAGACTGATAGAGGCAGTCAGATGGAACTGGCTCGTCCTGAAACTGAACAGTGCCAGACTGGAAAACTGGTACCAATGGTTCACCGATAGCTACATAGACCTTACCCTAACAGTCTCAGCAGAATCCAAAAGTATAGCGGGAGAATGAAATATTAGAAAAGAATAACTCCAACTCACCACATCACTCGCCGAGGGCAACCTTATCGCAAACTCCTCAAACAACTTTTATAGCCAACTTCTCGAAGCAGCAAGAGATGAACTCGACGAATGGAGGAATTGGGAGCTGAGAGGTCTGCAGATTCGAGCTAGGATGACCGATCACACCCTCAATGAATCCATGACAAAATACTTCTTCGCAAAAATCGAAGTTAATGCCATAAATATTAAATAACAACATCGACGGGTTGGATAGACCACTCTTGATAAACGAACTACACATCAAATGGGCAACGATAAAGTCTCGGGCATCGATGGACTATCGAAAGACTTCTGGATCCACTTCTGGCCCACATTAAGCGAGGATCTTCTCAACTTCTTTAATGACAGTAGAGACTGAGGAGTGCTAGGCCGAAATCTGAGTACAAGTGTAGTATCTTTAATCCACAAAAAAGGCGAAAAGGAGGATTTGAAAAACTACAGACCTATCTCGCTACTCACAACCCCCTACAAAATCCTAGCGAAAACACTGACCAATAGGATCATAAATCTGACAGACAAATGCTTCCACATTGACCAAGCGGGTTTCATCCAGACGGATATGTACTCGACAATGTGACGACTTTAAACGAAGCGGCTAAAAAGATTACCGAGAAACGGATGAAAGCAGCGATCCTCTTCTTTGACATCGAGAAGGCCTACAACCAAGTCAACTGGGATTTCCTTCACGCGTGCATGGAAAAAATGGGAGTCGGCCTGAATTTCTGAAAGTCGGTCAGGGTAACCAGCAGAGTGCAGGACAATAGGATCCTATCGGAGAGCTACCCCATCTCGAGGTCCGTACGACAAGGAGATCCCCTAGCACCCCCCATTTTCCTCTTCATCATGGAAGCCATACTGTCCTTCCGCCGCAAAGACCCGTCTATAGACTGGCTAACCAAATAAAATTTCAACCCAGCACACGACTTCACCCACTGCACTGATGTTCACAGACGATCTCACAGTCCTTATCCTCGCCAAAAACAACTCCTTCCAAGCTCTCGTCAGGGCTATGGAGGCTTTCCGACTAGCGTCTGAGATGAAAGTAAACTGGCGCAAAACCGAAGGATGGTGGCTAGCAGAAGGGATACACCCCCAATCAGAGGACACAACGACACCTATGTCGAGGGCCACAGGCGAACAGGCTATCCGATATCTAGGAATGGGTCAGGGCCTAATTGCCAAAGCAATAACTTGCATGGCCCCATGCAATAATGCATAGGCATTGCTGATCGGGAGGGCACTAATAATAAACACAGCTGTCTTCTTTACATTATGGTACATGACATCTATCTGGTCTCTCCCGGACGACGACCTGCAAACTATAAAGGCCAGAGCAAGATGCTACCGAACCTCATGCATAAATAGGGTAGCATGGAGTCACATCGTTAGGAAACCGCAGGAGGGAGGCCTAGGCCTAATTGACCCCAAAAAAGAGTCAACAGCACTGCAGATGAAATGGATGGTCAAGATCCTGACCAGACAGTACCTACCATGGACCAAGATGGCCCTAGACAGCATAAGAAACCTAGCACCGACAAGCTCTCCGTCTAACATGAGTGGCTATTTCTGGATTATGGCAAAGGAGTGGACGATAAGATCAGGCAGATCCCGTAGGAGCACCACATGAGAACCAGTAAACCAAGCCGCCCCAACGCCTAATTTATATTGGACCCCAACTTTGAAAGCATGGTGACGAATGATGCCGAGCAAACATGGCACAGCGGAGAACAAAGAAGAGGTCCTGAGACAACCCCTATTCTGCAACCCATGGATCAAAGACCCCGAGGGATTCCTTGGACACTTGGTTCGAAAGAAGAGAAGATGGCTATCCTGGGTGGAGAAAGGAGTGTGGCAGGTAAAACACCTGTGGGCTGAAGAACGGGGCGATTGGTGTACGGAACAAGAACTCTGCTCCGCCCTAACAGGCTGAAACGAACGGGGCGTGTAAGCCCTAAGTTTTAGGCTTTTAGGCTGAATGTCCGGGACGGGCCCTGCAGGGCCCGTGTGGCTACGCAGTATGCCACACCCCCCCCTCCTTGAAGAACCGAGCTTACCAACGAGGGCGAAGCTGTCTGTCTGAGGGAGGGACCACAGTCCGGGTGGGAGGGGCTGGTCGTGAAGCTTCCTGAGCTAACCTGCGCTTTTCATAATGTGCGTAGATCAGCGGTGCGGATGCTTTCAAATCTGCGCCTGAAATCCACCGAGTGTCGTCACGATCGCATGCTTTGAATGACTTTGTACTGCCGCGGCTTGCTGCCGTACTTGCGATCGGAGAGGACGCGGTCAACTTCCTGATGGCCATCCATAGAAAGAGGGTCCTGCGATCGTCGGTTCGGAAAGTCGTCGCTCTTGAGTGGCGTGTATGTTGCCAGCTTCGAGGCGTGGAAGACCGGATGGACCGTCAGATGCTCTGGAATGTTGATCATAAATGAAGGGCCATCGGGCTCATCGCCCGCGGCTGCTGTCACCGACCAACAAACCACTTGGGAAGCAGTTTGCGTGAAACATCCTGTTCCAGTGCAAACTCTTCCGCGGAGACCCAAACCAGATCACCGGCGCGGATGGGACATGGTACGTGACGCTTGTTGGCTTGCTGCTACATGCGGACTTGAGCCTTTTGCATATTTGCGCGGGCTTGAGTCAGGCAATTCCCTGTACTTCCGGACGRAAGCGGGAGAGCAGGCAGCGTCAATGTCGGCTGATCGAGGGAGGAGAAGGTCTGCGAAGATCTGGCCTTTCCGTCCACCGTGGTGCAACTCRAATGRAGTCACGCCGATCGCCGGATGCACCGAAGTGTTGTAGGCGAACTCGATGTCGGGGAGGCGGTCAACCCAATCTTTCTGGTCCGGGCAGATGAGTGTACGAAGCATCATTTGAGCGGTTTGATGTGCCCGCTCCGTCTGCCCGCCTGTCCGAAGATGTCGAGCCGAACTTGGTTTCATTGTTGTGCCGGACTCATGCATGAGAGCAGTCCAAAATGCCGATATGAAACGAGTGTCGCGGTTGCTGACAGTGTCTTCTGGTACACCGTGGCCACAAATCCAACCAGTGTGCAGGAGGCGTGCCAGCTCGGGAGCCGTGGAGTAGTACTTGCAAGGGAGAAAACGAGCGTACTTACTCAATCGGTCCACAACTGTGAGGATGCCGTCGTGCCCGAGCCGGTCGCGAGGAAACGGACCGATGACGCCCATGGCAATGGAGACACCGGGTTCCCGTGGGATAGGCATCGGGTGTAACTCGCCGTAGGGATTGCGGTTGCAGGGCTTGCTGCGTCGGCAAACTTCGCAAGAGTCGCAATACCGAGTGACATCGGTAACGAGGTCGGGCCATCAGAATCGCTGTCGAAGCCGTGCGATAGTGCGGTTGACTCCGAAATGGCCGGCGAGTCGTGAATCATGATACTCGCCGAGGAGGCGAGTCCGAATACTACGGTCGCGTGGGACACACAATAAGTCCTTGCCTCTCGAGTGGAGGAGCAAGTATCCGTTGGCAATGCGATAGTGGCTGGCCGGCGGGTAATCCGAAGATAGCTGTGCGTACAGCGTGGCGAAGTCCGGATCAGACTGATATGCCCGGATGAAGTGTCGCTGAAGCTCCTCGTCGAAYGCGAAGGCATGATGTGTCATAGCGCAAAGATCTGGTCTTCGCGAGAGTGCATYTGCTGCGCGATTTGAGAKKCCGGGAAGATGTTTCGGTGTGAAGTCAAACTGGTCGATGAAGTACATCCATCGTYCGATCGTGCTGCTCACCGTATCCTGCGTCTTGTAGTAGGTCAATGGATTGTTGTCCGTAACCCATGTGAACCTACGACGCCCAAGGAGGAAGTGCCACCATCGCTTGAGAGCCATGACGAATGCGAGTAGCTCCTTCTTCCTTGCATCATCAAGCGAGTTGATGGGAGGCACTTTGTGGCTGAAACACTCCACAGGGTGCCAGTCGTCGCCGTCGTGCTGTTCCAAGACTGCCCCAATGCCATAGCCRGAAGCGTCCGTAGTCATTSKYGTCGGCAMGGTGGGGTCATARATGYTRAGGACGGGTGCCATGAGCATRGCCGTCTTAAGTGCTTGGAATGACCGGYGTGCGTCGTCATCGAATACGAATGGCACCTTTGGCGACTGTAACCTCGTCATAGGTGCAACAATCCTKGAGTATCCGGTGATGAATCGYTGATAGTAGCCCGCCAACCCCATGAATGAACGAACGTCCGTGGTGTTGGTGGGCTCGTGCCATACTCGTAGGGCCTCGATCTTGTCCGCAAGCGGACGGATGCCTGCGGCGTCACATAATGTCCCAAGTACTCCAGCTCCTGCCGTGCGAACTCGCACTTGTCGCGGTTTGCTTTGTACTTGGCCTGTCGTAGCCGCTCCAAAATGGTGCGCAGGTGTTCCACATGCTCGTCCAGACTCTGGCTGTAAACCAGAATGTCGTCGTGGTAGATCAGTACGAAACGATCCAGCATGTGTCGGAACTCCGTCGTCATAGCCGCTTGGAAAGTGGCTGCGGCATTCGGAAGGCCAAATGGCATGACCAGCCATTCGAAATGCCCATACCGAGTCTTGAACGCGGTCTTGTAGCGATCCTCCTTGCGAATCTCGAGTTGGTGGTACCCTGATTTGAGATCCAGCTTAGAGAAGAACTGGGCGCCGCCCAATCGCTCGAGAAGGTCGTCGATGCGTGGGAGAGGGCCGGCGTTCCTGATTGTGTGCGCGTTGAGCTTGCGATAATCGATGCACAACCGCAGGTCCTTGTTCTTCTTCCGGACGAAGAGAACACGAGCACCGTATGGTGATGAGCTAGGCCGAATCCAGCCTTTCTTCAGAAGGTCGTCGAGTTGTGCCCGAAGCACACTTAACTCTTCCTCGCTCATTCGGTAGATGCAACCGCGCGGAGGTACGGCCCCGTCCTCAAGGATGATCTCGTGGCGGATGGGTCGATCCGGTACTACTCCGTGCGGGCCTTCGAACACGTCGCTGTAGGCGTCGAGAAGTTCGGTGATGCGTGGATCCGAAGGTGAGTCCATCGATGAAGCGTCATGGGGCGGGA